TCGTTAGTGGAAACGGCTTTCCCGTAATATCGCAACTTCCGCGATGACGGACGTCAAGCCGGAAGAGCTTCCGCGATTTCGCGCGGTCTCGTAGACTCGTTTCTTTTGCAAAAGACCTATGGTATTCCGGGCGAGCGAGGTACGTGGGTGCACGCCACGAAGGACTTGGACGTCCGATCACACGATACGACAAACATTGTGCATTACGTGTATTATTAGACACGCATCCCGGTAGCGAATAATCGCGCGCGTGGCGCACGATACCTGTCCACTTAGCGGAGAACGCTGCCGCGAGGTGTGTGACGTAAGCAATTTTAATACTCATCATCCATCCGCTGTCTCTGTATAGGCGAGCGCGCCAAGTCGATCTCTTTTAAAAGATCGCTCGCATTGTTCGCGATGAATGCGCACACGCGCCGGTGCAGTTATCAGCGCGCTGCAACGCGCCGTAGAGCTGTCGCCCTCGTTATTTTAAACGGCATTACAGACTTTCCCGTAATGCTGCACTTCGGATATGACAAACGCTAAACTTTCCCACCCAGCTGGCGCGGCGAGATCCACCGTGACGATTTCGCATCCAATTTACTTTACAGCGCTCGCCCGTAAACGCGTACCTAGCCGTTCGCAATTAAATCTCAGGACTCGCCCCCTCAGACGCGAAATCGCGACCTCGGCCGGGGGAACAATCGATGTCATCGTTCGACGCGAAGTCGAGAGAGACAGAGAGAGAGAGAGAGAGAGAGAGAGAGAACGTCACGAATCTTGAGTACTCGCAAGAACTCGAGTACTCATCGAGGAAAATTCACGGATATATTTCAGCGATAGTTGTCGTATACTTTTTTATTAAAAAAAATAATAAAAAATACAACAATTATTGTTCAATACGAAGTCGAACAAATCTTAACGCTCGAGTATCTCACCGAGAAAATTCACGGATATATTTTAGCGACAGTTTTGTCGTATATAACTTTTAAATAAAAAAGAAAAAAATAATACAATGGAGAAAACTACTATGGTTGTCATATTTACATTTGTATACTGAGTTTGGACGCAATCCGAGCACTCAAGTTGCGCAGTGCTTCCAGATGTCAAAATTGAGAGGCACTGCTGACGCATTTGTGTATGACTCGGTTATGACAGAAGTCGAAGTGATAGCACAGGCTGTATTAATATGTCATCATGTAATTTTACATTTATTTTTACACCCTGTACTGTCATTTCGGCTTCTGTCATAACCAATTCATAAATACGCAAATGCGTCAGCAGTGCCTCTCAATTCTGATATCTTGAAGCGCTGCAACTTCAGCATCGAAATCATTTTGCGACTCAGTATACGATCGGAGGGAAAATTTATGTGTGACTTCAAATCGAATAGATATAATATTAAAAGTGGATATTTGCCTATCTATACTATTTCTCGCATACGTATGGTTATCTCAACCGAAAGAACATTACTGTCTCCTTATTGTGCTCTGACAAATAAATATGGTTGAAAGAGATCCGTACACTCAGAAAAATGTTTAGCTGGTTCAGGTAGAATTCTAAATGTCACGGTTAAAATTTATCGCTGTTTTTTGTGCTAGAAAATTGTCTGTGACATGTGGAATTTACAGCAGCAGCATCCCAGCGATATCTGTAAGCTAATTTAGGTGGGTGTGAGGATTACATGTTCGTTTGTCTCTCGTCGCTAGTCTTTTTGGTCCGCCGCAGTCAATTTTTATAAGAAATATGACTGGCTTTAATCAGGATAGGCGCCACACAGAGAGACTTTCTTGCTAAATTTCACAAATAGTTCAGACTGAAATTCTATCTCTGTCATCTATATTGATTAACTACAACACATAGTATATACGGTATCGCAATGTTTGCCAGTCATTTATGAGATTTTAGCTAATTTCTCATCCATATCATTTTCCCCATAGCTGTAAAATTATTTTTTTAATGTAGGAATTGGTCGCACCATACATCACTGAGAGTATCTCTCAAACACATATGTGCAGACAGCAAGGCCAGTGTACAACTCCCAACTGATAGCACAATATGCTATAATTCCTACAACCATTTTGTATTCGAAAAGTAACATCGATATTTTATTATGGCAATCATATTTAAACGAGTGATATCTTTGGTATTTTCTCCGTGTACGAATCTTGACTCTTGAGCACTCACAGAAGGAAACTTACCTTCGAAACTGACCGAAGAGAACTTACGGATATATTTCAGCAACAGTTGAAGTCCTTTTTATTAAAAAAAAAAAAAAAAAAAAAGAATACAACGAGAAACAATCATCGTTTGGATCTAATCGACTCTACGCTCGAGTGCTCCGCAGAGAGAACGTATAAGATTTTCTTCTTTCCGCTCCTACTATTATTTCTCTACTGTTCAGCAAGAGCACGTCGACGACGTCGGCCGTTCTTGTATCGAGGTGGCCAGATGGTTTGGAGACCTTTTTTTTTCGTCGCGACGCTAAATCATCCCTCTGTCGGCGCGCGAGCTCGCGCGGTGTCCCGTACGAAGAAGAAGCGACGCGCCTCTTAAGAGAGGTCCCTAACGTCTTAAGCTACGTTAGGGTTTTGTTAGCATTTTCTCGAATCGCGCATACTGATAAGAGTCGCGTCCGCGTATGCTCGGGCGTTTCATATGAATCGTCTATATTAACAAACTAATTAAGGCCAGTGTTCGTTATACCGAGGTACATCGTTAACGAGACCGCGTCTCTCTCTCTCTCTCTCTCTCTCTCTCTCTCTCTCTCTCTCTGTGCGTTTCTATATTTATTTATGGAGCAGGTCGTATGATGTAGGGTCAGCCAGTAGAGAGCTACCACCTGGTAACCGTCTGCCGCGTCAGCGCCTATTCTCCACCGGATCGGATACGTTAGATAAGAGGCGGTATAACTATAGTTACATACACGCGCGCACGCATGCACGAACACACACACACACACATACACTATGCGGTGATACTGATAACCCAAAATGAATCGACGTGTAAGAGCCCCAAGTTTCCCACCTGAGCTCGAATGTGTCCGTGATTGGTAAATTTGCGAATACCTTCCACAGGTGGAGGAGTGAGGTCATTGTCGTTATCATGCCAGCATGTTAAAGCTCCAAGGGTGTAGGATACATTGAAAATTAAAATTTTGCCCATTTTGATCTTGAAATCATTTTAAAGGGAAAGAATTCTACTTTTTTTTAAGATATTTGCGAAGAAAATGGAAGATGCCCAAAAAAGCAATTTCTTTGTTATCCTTCAAAAATGTTTAATAATTTTGAATTTAAAAAATTGATTTCACTGAATCAAAGAGCGTAAAAAGACTTTTTGAAACCATTTATAAATCTTATTTTTATAAATTGGAGTAGTCTATTGAAACTTACCGCCGTTTGAAACACGACAGCCCAAATGCTAAAATATTTCAAACTCCGGTTACTACACAATCTATTAGTCGCGGGTCCAAAAATTTGAGCAACAATTTTAGTTGTGATAGGACTATAATTTATGCAAATTTCAGCATAATCGGAAAACTGAAAATTTTGGTGGATTACTTCATATATAATGCCTTATATATATTGAAAGGATAGCAAATTACTGCAGAATATCGAATCTTCAGTTGCAGAATTATATATAGTAATTTTTACTATACAACTCTATTATTTTATATAATAATTTAGATATAGATAATAATAATGAATAATCTCGCGAGGGAGATATATGTGTGCAACAGCTTCTGACATTTTTTAAAACGATGAGAGACACGTGATACATCGCGCAGGTGACTGCGCGTCTTTTTCTTTACGATAGCGGGAAGATTAGGTGCCGATAATGCAGTTGACTTTCCCGTAAAAAGCCCCTGGGTTCATAGTGCGTAAAGTAGCGATAGCGCCGTAATATTACCACCGACTTCTTGGCAAGCATCCACTGCGACTTAAATGCTGCCTTGGTCCCAGGACCATCTTTAACGCTCTATTACACTTTAGTAGCCAAAATAATCCTCGCGCTCGTTCTCTCTCTCTCTCTCTCTCTCTCTCTCTCTCTCTCTCTCTGCGTGCAATTTCAATGTGCTTACATGCCTTTCGAAATTACTTTATCATATCGTGCATGTGTTTTATTTATCGTTTCTAATTATATATCGCGCAAACGAGTGATAGAAAAAGTCCAACCGGAGATTCGGAGTCATTAAAACGAAACGTCCGACATCTTAAAAACATCCTTAATAAAATATTCGAATCGACCAAATCTCCCTGTGCGCTTCAGACACGCGAAGCAAAGCCACCTAGAAAGATGAACAATTCAAAGCCTCGTTAGACGTAAGGTAAAAATTACAAACTCGCATCGATTTTCGAACGACGTCCCGTCACTCGTTTCCAATTATCTCGAAGCGGACATGACGTTCGACCTTTGCGTTACCAGAAGCTCGATACTGAAGTTCGCACCTATTCGCTACCGAGGAACACAGCCACGGAAACGTTAATACTAACGAATAACAACGAAGTCTGAGGGCTTTTGTTCCCGCGGTAAATGTCGACTAACGTAAACGCCATTCTATCTGATGTACCACGTACGCCACGTACGTGGCTGCGTCGCTAATGCTACGGCAATTTTCGAGGAGATCAAAAGCGGCAGATACGTTATTTGGACTTCACTTCGCATTTGTGCGCTGTGTACGAAATCTGTGTACGTACGATAGATCGTCGCGGGAGAGGCACATGTGTGTGCGCGCGCACGAGAGAGAGAGAGAGAGAGAGAGAGAGAGAGAGAGAGAGAGAACGATGCATAATTCTCTTTATCGAAATATACCCAAGGCTTTCCAGAGAGGATTTCCAAATCGATTTCCGAGCACAAGATAGTTGAAACTAGATCACACTACCGTGAAAATCGTTCGATTCCCGATGAGAAAATTAATTTTCATCGCTACGAGCGTTCGGGATTCGCGCGGAACTCACGGACATGTAACCACTCTCTCATGAAGAATTTAAATATCGCTGGCATTTCTATAATTGCAGGCGTCGAGTATGCCATGCGTACTTAATGGGGAGGTAATCGCATTGCACACCTGGCGCAACATGCATCCTTCCACGCCCTTGTCGCAGCTCGACTGCCTCGCCAGGGATATCGAACTGGCCGCATTCGATGAGGAATCTGTCGCAGTTATGGCAATTATCGAGTACGTTATTCCCCACGTCCTGACGACGCTTGCGCGTTTCCCAGTAGCGAATGATCTAAGATCTGCGACAGCTTGCCGCGAAAGATCCGTCGATCATCGCTTCGACGGGCCATCCAGGCCGAATCCAAAGAATTCTTGGATCGCCCTTTCGCTTTCGACATCACTATTCATTCTCTCATTTAGAATATACGCGGATGTAATGTGAGTAACGTATAAAGTGCAAATGTTAATGAGAGCTGGTAAACATTTAAGAGAAAAAAGAACCATATCCTTTGAATCTCTTTTCTTGGATATTGAAAAATGAAGGAACTCCCAGGCACGAAGAGGTAGTAAGAGAAAGAGAGGCAGTAAGACAGACAGACAGAAAGAGAGAGAGAGAGAGAGAGAGAGAGAGAGAGAGAGAGAGAGAGAGAGAGAGAGAGAGAGAGAGAGAGAGAGA